CATTGGGAAATTGCAATCCACAAAGAGGAAAGTTGACAAAGTAGACGACAAGGACGATACAGATGACGACGATGTCGCAGTGGAGGGGATAGAAGAAGATGAAAGTGAAATAGATTCTGTTATCAGTAGTAGTCAAAGTTGAAATAAAACCTTTGAATTAAATAATAAATTACAATAATAGTATAATTCACCAATAATATAATTAATAATTCATAAAGACGATTGATTCGGTCAATTAAAAGTAAATAAAAAAAATAGCAACATATGTATTAATAACTGTTTTGCTATTGAAATAATTTTAAAATAATTTTGGTATTTAGTAAACATCGCAAATACCAAACTTGTATTTATGCTTGCCACTGGAAGAGAACATTGCATTGTGGGAAAAAAATCAACACAAATCACACACATACGTTGCGTGAAGACCATTGACAAAAGAGTTATAAAGACAACAATCATGTGACCAAATTGTATAATATTATTTTGAACATACACGGTTACGTTGACCATGATCCTTATACAAGTACCCAATAATATGAAGTTATTACGAGAATACTTAAAAGTATGCACGAAGACAGTACAGCTTGAGTATCAACAGATGCACAGTGGAGGTCAATGCGCGGCATACTGTCTGATTGCATACTTTGAGGTATTCTCATAATAACCTTATTATTATACATCTTTTCCTTTCAAGGATACATCATGGGAATGCCGAAATCCAAAAAAGTTTAGAACAGAATCAGCGAATTTCTATGTGTGGAGTCCGGTCAAACTCCGAAGGCAGCCATGTTTGTTTTTATTATTAGAAGACGTTTACGACCGTAATCATTCCATATTTGGATTTCGCATCTCCTAATATGGTAGGATGAAAATACCCCGTAAAATGCCGCAAAATTACGACACGCTGTTTCTCATGGCGTCACGGTGACAGATGTATAATAATAACTCACAATAATATTTTTTTTAAATTGTTCGAACTACTTAGCAATCACTGTTTGCCAATTTTCTATTGATTTTTTAACTGGAGATTTAATTTAATTGTACGCATATTTTGTTTCTGTGCATGTGAATGACATGTATGTTCTTTATCACTTTTGTTTTCATTCGTTGAATTTATTGCTGTATAAAATGTGTATTTTTAGCAAGTCAGCAATTAAGTTATTTTAGTTGCATGTAATCTGTATGTGTGTATTCCTCTCACATAAAATTATGTGAAATATTTTCACATTTTGTAAAATTTTGAGTAAATTTCATTATCTTTTTGAACCATACCGTTTCTGATGGTTAAATCAAAATGTAGCTGTTTTACTTGGAAAAGACAATTTTGAGTAAAATTTGTGTCACTTCTACCAACATTGCTCTCAAAACTGTATTTTTTTTTTAGTTTATTTCCAAAATCTGTACTATGTTTACAGATAGCTTCCTTAAAAATGTTGACACATACCCTGTTGATTCATTCCAAAATTTCAAATACATGTACTTTTTTTCCTATATTTCGCATTAAACTCATCAAAAATCAGTGAAAATAAATTCCATACTAAACGACCAAAATACCTTTTCAGCGAAAATTAATTCCAGCGAAAATAAAGTATTCCACAGTACTGGTTTAAAAAACAAAAACAACTTAATTTTTGCTTTCAAAATTGTTTATTTCTTTCAAAATATTTGACATTTATTTACAGTTTACCCACAAAGAGACTGAAAAATCGGTTTGATTTGACTACAATTAGCATATGATTTAATCCAGCATTCTGATTGGCTCAGATATGGTCACATGTTTGGCAAGAGCCACAACTCTGCTGTTAATCTGTAAAGTATTTGTGATGCAACATTCAATATGAATAAATTACCATATGAATTAATCCAGCATTCTGATTGGCTCAGATGTGGTCACATGTTTGGCAAAAAACACAAGTCTGCCTTTAATCTGCAATGTATTTGTGAAGAAACATTCAGTATGAATAAATTAGCAAATGATTATATAGAGAATTCTGATTGGCTCAGATGTGATCATATTCAATGTAATCTAGTGCATTTGTAACGATTTCATAATGTTCATTAGCATATCTAGGTATTTAAAATAGATATTTCCAAACATGACATTCACATTTGTTCACTACATGCGTTTATGAAACGAGTGAAATTCTGTATGTACTGTAAAATCTGTATTGGATGCCGCAGCTTCTAGTAAAATGGTACAATGCAACAGAGGATGCAGCTTCTATTAGAGCATCTACACATATGAGAAATGGTTAATTTTTGGTTCTCAATTGTTCAAAAAAAATGGGTGCGACTTTCAATACAGATTTTACGTTAATCATTACACATCACTATAATACAAAACATCTCGTGGCCATTTAAGTATGTCTGGTAATATATTCAAAGTGACTAGGTCATTTATCAACGACGACGACACACATACAGACAGACACACACACACACACACAGTGGTATATATCACAAATAATTTGTTTTGTGTTGATTCACTTAAAATATAAATGAAAATTATACAATTTGGAACAGTGAGTAAAAGTTGTACAAAACTTACTGAAATGTCATTACAAATTCATTTTTTCTGGGTTTGTCAGAATTCAGAAATATTTAGTAATATGTATTTTTTTTTAAAAATATTTTTGCGCAGGAAATATTTCTAGACATTGAAGTCTCTGTTTTCTCTCCTAACTTTTGTCTCATATGCTAAATATCAGTGCATGCGAGCAAACCAGTCTCTCGTACCTAAGTGTTTACACAACTCACAATAGTCATAGCTTCATTTGCATATTTCATGGAAGCCATTGCTTCATTTGCATATTTCATGGAAGCCATTCCTTTATTTGCATATCTCACTGAAGCCATAAAACAGGATTAGATTTTTAGAAAATTTTTGCTGGAAAGACATTTCTGGTGTTTTTCATGAGTTTATTCTCTCCATTTTTTGATGAATTGAATTTAAAATATATTCATTGAATTTTATTTTCACTTGATTAATTCGTTCAGTGAAAATAATTAAATTTGAAGTTAAAATGAAGTTGGTTACAATAGCATAATTTAAAAAAACAACAATGTGTCTTTCAGTGATTTTAGTGACCAATTGCAATAAGGTCAATGTTCTGCAAGTCAGAAGGTATGTTCTGCAAGTCAGAAGACATGTTCTGCAAGTCAGAAGGCATGTTCTGAAAGTCAGAAGGTATGTTCTGAAAGTCAGAAGGTATGTTCTGAAAGTCAGAAGGTATGTTCTGAAAGTCAGAAGGTATGTTCTGCAAGTCAGAAGGTATGTTCTGCAAGTCAGAAGGTATGTTCTGCAAGTCAGAAGGTATGTTCTGAACGTCAGGAGGTATGTTCTGAAAGTCAGAAGGTATGTTCTGAAAGTCAGAAGGTATGTCCTGAAAGTCAGAAGGTATGTTCTGAAAGTCAGAAGGTATGTTCTGAAAGTCAGAAGGTGTGTTCTGAAAGTCAGAAGGCATGTTCTGAAAGTCAGAAGGCATGTTTTGAAAGTCAGAAGGCATGTTCTGAAAGTCAGGAGGTATGTTCTGAAAGTCAGAAGGTATGTTCTGAAAGTCAGAAGGTATGTCCTGAAAGTCAGAAGGCATGTTCTGAAAGTCAGAAGGCATGTTCTGCAAGTCAGAAGGCATGTTCTGCAAGTCAGAAGGTATGTTCTGAACGTCAGGAGGTATGTTCTGAAAGTCAGAAGGGATGTTCTGAAAGTCAGAAGGCATGTTCTGAAAGTCAGAAGGTATGTTCTGAAAGTCAGAAGGGATGTTCTGAAAGTCAGAAGGCATGTTCTGCAAGTCAGAAGGTATGTTCTGCAAGTCAGAAGGTATGTTCTGAAAGTCAGAAGGTATGTTCTGAAAGTCAGAAGGTATGTTCTGCAAGTCAGAAGGTATGTCCTGAAAGTCAGAAGGTATGTTCTGAAAGTCAGAAGGTATGTCCTGAAAGTCAGAAGGTATGTTCTGAAAGTCAGAAGGTATGTTCTGAAAGTCAGAAGGTCAATTATTAGCATGGGAATATTACATATTTCCTGCAATTAATACAAACTCAGACCATCAAATATTTCACACAGTAACCACTGTAAAATACTTTATTTTAGCTGGAATTAATTTTCGCTGAAAAAATGTTTTGGGTGTTTTGTATGGAATTTTCACTGATTTTTGTCGAGTTGAAAGTAAAATATAGGAAAAAGGTATATTAAATGGATTTTATTTTCACTAAATCACTCCTTCAGCAAAAATAGCGAAAATTAATTCCAAGCAAAAATAAAGTATTCCACAGTATTCCACAATAAAGCGATGAAAACAACCCCGCAATGGTTAACTAGTAAACTAATTTTTGTGAAAAAAAATTAAAATTAAATAGAACTTTTGATATCATAATGCCACGGGGTAAACAACAAACAAATTTATTTCTATGGCAACAACTACCCCAATGTTTATTAGAAATATTCTGTTTTCATATCAAAACTGACCTATAATATTGCTACATGTTCCCTTTGCCCTTAACGTTTGATACAATTTACAGTTTTCAGTTAATTTTAGACTAAAATGAATAAGTCACAGACAGGGGTTTGATTCACAATTTGCAAAAAAACAAACCATGTGAGACTATTGACGACAAATATTCTCTTTTAAAATTACAGTTAAACAAAGCCCCCCTCCCCATTAATGCTTAACTCCCCTCTCCCTTCCCATGTAAATAAAATCTAAAGGAATGTATTGGCACTGAGAAGAATACAGTATTTGTTTAATCAGCAGCGCATGCATTTTATGTAAATGACCAAGACATGTCAAAGGTCACCATATTTTAATCATTGAATATATGGTAGATACATTGGCGTTATATAGTCATATATTGTCTATAATTTCAAATTTGTGATAATATACTGTAAAATATTTTATTTTAGCTAGAAT